GGCAAAATCGGGATTAAAAATGTTTTTCTAATTTTTTTTATTTCATACATTTCATTTCGTAAAAATTGCAATTTCTTTAAATATTTTGCAAATAGTGTCATTTACAATTTACACAACAAGGCTGCTAACTGATGGACTGCATGTCTACAGACATGCAGTTAATGCGTGCAGTCGTGATCAACTGCATGCAGTTGTGACTGCACGTAGTCGATTTCGACTGCATGTAATTGTATATATGTAATAAAATGTCATTGTATATGTATACAATGTATCGACTTCCCGCATATAGTTCATTATAAAAATAAAAAAAATCTAGTAGCAGCCTATGATCTCGACATTTCATTCTGAACTTCAAACTTGCTTTTAGTTACAGTTTTGGGGACTAGAGTAAGCTATCCGACAAACACCAACTACTGAAGTGTTGTTTATAAAGTTTTTACGTACGGCAACTTCAAACATACGTCAAATAGCCTTATGTTTGAAGTAGCTATTTCTTTATTTTTGTACTTAAGTATTACCCAACAATAATTTCGCCACATTAGTACACGTTCTACACAAAAAATCTTACGTTATATATAATTAATCACAGACAAACAAAAAAAAAATGAAAGAGTTCGTCCAGGGCAAGACTGCCACCTTACCTATTTCTGCCTCTAAGCAGTAATTTGAGCATTACTGCGTCCGGTTTTGAAAAGTAAGTAAGCCAGGAACACGACTTGTTCGGGAAAGCGGAGAATTAACTCCTTACTTCAACTTGTGCAGTGATCTTCTAACTAAACGTTAGAAACAGCTCAGCCGCCGTAAAGTTGAAAGGTCGCATGTGACATTAAAAAAAATATATTATGTATTTGTATACCGTTGCTTTTTCCTAGGTGGATATGATATAAAGTTATCGCAAGAGAAAAGTACATATTTTTAAAATTTTATTTCCTTAAACATAATTGCTCGGTTATGAGTTTTTGTCAGTAGCGCTGTTTCAACTAACGGCTACTGAGCTATTAGCGGTTATTAAAACAATCGTAAATTATCACTTTGTTATAAAAAAAAAATCTGATGTTCTAAAGTTCGTGGAATTACATCTACTTACCAAGTTTTATTGAAATCGGTTACCGGAAAGTACGCGATACCGGATTCAAATTTTTATTGTCAAACACAAACAAACAAATTGTCCTAATTAAATATTGTCATATCACATTTTGCCATAAATATAATAGTTATTAGAAAAAAAAATGTGTATTTTTTGTATGAGACCACGAATTTAGTGCCCCATTGTTACAAAGTACGCGTCAGAGAATTTGCAATATAAGTAATGTATAGTCAATTTTTAATGTTCTTAAGTGATTTCCCCGATCCCGAAAAGGTTCTGGAATCTAAACAATATTATCGTAAGGCAGTCCCCATTTTCGTCTATGTTTCTTGGAGTTTAAGTAAAAAAACTCTACCTATTCCGTTCCCTGCTTACGAGTAACAGAATAATGATAAATCCGGGTGCACTACCAAGAACATACAGACCAGAACCAATTTTAGAAAAGATCGTTTCCTAAATTGGTCCTTCCGAGAATCCATACCGGAACCTCATCAAACGCAGGTTCTAACCGCTAGCCACCGAGGTAGTCGTTTAAAATATTTAAAGTGTAAGTGTGTATAAGTTTATTATGTTCCTTAAGCTCGAAGGACAGGCAAACGAGATTTATTATATATATTATTAGATTTATACGCATTTATCCTCATCGCGTGCACGTCATAGCGTGGAGACCAAACTTGAGCATATTATTCTAATTGACTTTGCATTACACAGTACAATGTCCAACCACCTATTAGACATAGAAACAATGCTGTCTAAGTGGTTACAAAAGTCTAATTTAATATCCACAGTAAACCGTAGAGCAACTGTGTGATCGAAAAGGTGCAAAAGAAGTAAATATACATATTTTTATTATGCGTATACTTTACATGGATACATTTTTCGGAGTTTAGAACACGACATTTTCCTAGTATTGAATCTTTAACATTATTAATTTTTAAATCATCAACAAACAAATCTGCGTATATATTAAACAACAAAAAGCAAGGGACCTAAATGAGAATCTTGTAAAATACCGGAAGTCAAATAAAGCTTCATACTGCGTATCATTTAAACAATATACATACGACATTCGTTGAAAATTATAAAAACTAAACAAGTACAAAAAGTTGCCATACAGTGTACAGCAAGCCTCCTCAGTAGAATGGATTGATTTACCTTATCGAAAACCTTACTGAAATCGGCCATCCGTTGACTTGGCGTACGACTTGAGGTAAAGAAATGCAATTAAACTAACAGGAAAATGGTACAAAGGCTCATATTCATGTATGAGCCAATTGTCAATGATCAGATCAGCATGTTAGTGGTCAGCACAGACATGTACAGCAATTTGTATGAATACCGAGCGTGTCACACTTTATGTATCCACCATGGCGTCACAAGAACTATTTAGCGATGGGAAACCTCCTTCCGCGCTAAATCGATTGATTGAACGGAATACACGTATTCCATTCAATTAATCGATTCAAGTATTCGTTGATTACAAGTAGTCGTGAAATATTAATACAGTAGAAAAATACCAAAACAAGATAGTTGTGCCTTTATTAAAAGTTGTTTTAAAAAAATTTTCATTACTTAATAATTTAAACTTTAATTTTTAATCAACTTCAATTATTAAAATTATTGTCCTTGAAATTAAGACTTATTATATAACTGTCCTTTTGTAATAGAAGATCTTATCGATTGACTTAAATAATGAAAACGCACGTCAATATATGAACTTGCAACTGCCTTAATAAAATTTACTAGATGGTTTTCCGTCGGTGATTGATCAAATTGGTGAATGGCGAGATAACTGAAAATGTTACTGCTGACAAAATATCTAAAATATTACTAAAGTAATTTAAGGTTTACTTAATGTCGGCCTCGTGTAAAGTTTTTGTGATTTGATCATGATTTCTCGGATTCTAACTCTGCTACTCTGTATCTTTGGTGGGATAAACTAGACCACATTCGTCCTTGTTCTGAAGCGTAGAAGCGCCAACTAAGTGTTTTTCGATCGATTGATTGAACGGAATACGCGTAAACACGCGTATTCCATTCAATTAATCGATTCTAAATAGAATAATTTTTGTTCAAGTATTTCTTGATTACAAGTAGTCGTAATATTAATATAGTAGAAAAATACTAGAATAAGGTAGTTCAGTCCTTTATTTCGATTTAAAAAAAAATCAGACTTTACTTTTTAATCGACTTCAAATATTAAAATTATTGTCCTTCCAGTAAAATGAGCTTGTTTTTTTATTTGTTTTAAAAATCGATCAGGATCGAGGACAGTGTTGCCTAACGTGTACATCACTAAATGTTAAATTTGGCCAAAAAATGTACAAGCGGCCGTACAACAGAAACTGAATGCATTATACAAAAGTGCGTTCGTTCGATATTCATGGCGTATTAACAAAGGATCACAAATATATCGCACCAAGTAAAAGCCGCAATGTATTGCAAATCAATCAAATCATATACATCATATACACATACACTGAGTTGCATATTTGTTTTCTCGAAATTCATACAAAACCAAACTACCTAATTGTTTTTAAAATAAATTATGCATCTTCTCATTACAAAATCACTTGCCCGTGGAAGGAAACTTCTCTGTGTACCCGTTTACCCACAGTTATGATGCTTTTGCAGTTTATAATGGCACAATTATGCATTTTTCGCGTTTTCGACTGGGTTTATCTACGATAACGATCGAGCGCGTTCTGAAGTGTAACAGCGGCAAGTAAGTGCATTTCACTTACTTTGGGCACGCGAAGTACGTATACTTGCGGCGTCTATCTAGATATACATATGTCTGTGGTGGTCAGTGAACAAGGACAGACAAAATGTTCTAAAGGAATTTATTAAGTGGTGTCTAATTAAAGTGCAATAGCATTACAATAATAGATCAAACATACAATAGGTATGTCATGAAAAGACGTCAAAAACAAATCTACACTTCGTCTAAAAAAGGGCAAAAAATGCAAATTTTTTATCAAGAATTGATGTACTTTGGTTAAATTTTCGTGCTTTCTGGATCTGTCTAGTCAAAGATTTGTTATTTAAAAAGGGCTTTTTGCGAAAACTGTTGTGAAATATCGATATTTTTTCATAAAATAGTCGGTTCCGTTGAGGACTAGTACCGAAATTTCCGGTTCTTCAAAACATCCGGTTCCGGAATCCCTAGCCACCATTGTAGTGACCCCATCTGTGGGTTGTTGTGGCCCGGAATAGCTTGCAACTAATTACTTTTTATGTATCAAATTGCAAAAAACATAAACTCAACGAGTTGAATATTATGGAATGTTAGGATTACCAATGTTGCATGTTATACCCACTACTGCAATGCTTTATGCAGCATGTCTACAGGTAACTTTGAACAAGTTCTACCACAATTGCGCGTCGTAGTCAAACAAAATGAATAGCTTCGGCTGAACTCTGCACCTAACATCTTAGAGTAACCTTGATTGAATAAAAAATCCTTGAATCTTAAAATTAGCGATGATTTATTTATTTTTCTTAGAGGAAAATGTATAATTAGTCATATAGCGGTTGATGAATAACCACAAATGTTTAGTGGAATATATTAATATGCAATGCACTGTTTATTGTACACAGTATTGTGTTTGTTATTATTTGTAATGTGTTGTACTTTTGTAACTTTAGTGAATGATTAATTTAACAATTCGTACACATAAATGGCGTTTTGACCGCCCATGCATAATATCTGCTGCCCGAAATAAGTACTTCGATAAAATGTCATCTTTTATTATACATTTTTTAACTCATATTTAAAATTCATACTAAATGCTTCATTTGACATTCACGGTCAAGCAATATGGTCTTAAACCATGACTTGTGCCCTGTCTGTAGAAAGCCATCCAGATGTACTGTGAGCACAAAATAACATGTGAAATAATTAATATTTCAGAAAACAACACAGACCTTGAATACCACGATTCGTTGTTGCAAGTGGTACACGATGAGGAACCGAAAGATGTACCCATGGGCGTTAACATTAAGGTAAGAATTAGTAAAAAGTAAAAGCTCCTTGTCAAAAAGTTCGTCCAGGCAAGTATTACCACCTTACCTAAATTATGATACGTATATAATAATAAATTATGAGTATACTGAAGATATGTGTCACTGAAGATAATAATAATAATAATAATAACGTACACACTCAACATAGCCCCGCACTAAGGAAATCCTGTGTCGCGGGTGCTATGGACACACACCTAAACCTCAAATTACACCCAAACTTACGAGAGAAAGAAATGTAGGCCATACAAATATTTCTCCCGGCCCGAGAATCGAACCTCGGACCTCTGCGTGGCCACGGAGGTAGTTAAAGAAGATAGTAGGTTTACCATGTATATTATGCACGTGCATGTACACTCACGCACACACGAACACGCGAGCACACACATACATATTTTAAATTTTACTTTCAGTTAATGTCCTATTAGAGCTTAGCGAATTTTTTTTTTGTTTCGTTGTTTTTCTTTCAACCGTGACATTGGCAAAATCATCATTTCTCATAATGATGGAGCCATAAAAATAAAAAGTGAAGTTCAATTTATATTTAAATTCATCTATAAGTATAAAATTCAAAAGTGTTTAGGTGTAAAAAAAATGTGTTTTTTTTTTTTCATTTCGTTTCTCTTTTACAATGCTTGATATTTTCTTAGTAATGACATAAGATAGTATGTGTCATTCATTCCTTAGAGGGAGAGCCTGGTGACTTGTAGTACACGTGTTAAGCCTTTAACAAGCACCAGCTCTTTAAAAAAACTGTCACTATCTTAAATTACTGACAACCTTCTGTACGTATTTTCGTGGAGAAATAATCATATTATTATTATTATTATTATTATTACCTATTTCTGCCGTTTAGTTTTGACGGGTGAGACTGCTGATGCTGGTGAAATTACAGGCAAATGTGACTTGTCAATTTATGGTCTCACGGTGACAGACGCAGTGACAGTGCCCCTCAGATCTTTGTGATTTAAAGCTCTGAGTAGTACTGCAACTGTTATGGACAGGCCTGTCGCTTACCATCAGGCGCACGACCTGAACATAGGCCTCCCCCAAACGCCATAACATCCGGTATTGTGCTGCTTGCGTCCAGTGGACTCCCGCAACCTTCACCAGGTCATCGGTCCACAATGTGGGTGGTCTGCTCACGCTGCATCTTTCATCTTAATATTTATTTAAGTCTACTTATAATAATACTAAAATATTTATTCGAAATAAAGTAGTACATATCCAATGCTATAGTATTTGAGTATCGGACAAATAAGATATACGTACTATTAGCGTGGATATCTTCTTGCTAAAGATTTACGGTTATCGGCAATTCGGAAAACGGTTTGCAAACATCAAGATTTCTTTTTGTTTTAAATACTTGGCTAGTAGGGCTAGCACGATAAGTCGCGACTTAGCGAGAGTGACATAAAGCGTCGCTCTGTCGCTCTAGCCCCACAGGTATAAACAAAACTCGATGATGTTTAGATTTAATATAACACGTGTCGTTTTGTACGTCTTGTTTGTTCATCACTTTAAGTGCGATATTATTGTGTTCATCTCTAAGTGCGATATTACTCTATATTATTGTGGGTATATCGTGGCTTTGTTTAACCGACTTCAAAAAAGGAGGAGATTCTGAATTTGACATTTTTTTGTATGTATGTTACGGGATTACCTACTCCGACATTTGAGAACCGATTTTGATGATTCTTTTTTGGTTGGAAAGACGGTACCTCCATATTGGTCCCATTTACATTTGAAGAGTATATTCCACCTCTAAGGTTGGCAAACTAGGAGATGAATCGCGTTCGCGTACTTTCCGGTAACCGATTTCAATAAAAGTTGGCAAATAGGTGTAATTCCACGAAGTTTTGGACGGTTTTTTTTATAATTATGATAATAAGTGGCTGGACGAAACAAGTCGTGGGCATTGTGGTCAACGACACGCGTGTTCATAACAGTTGCATTGCCGATCAAAGCTTTAAATCGAAAATAGGGCCACTGCCAAAGCACCCGCCACCCTGAGACATAAGATGTAAAATCTCACGTGTCGCTAATTTCACCAGCACCGTTATTTACCGAAACATAGTAATGCTCACATTACTGCTCTTGCAGCAGAAATCGGTAAGTTGGCAGTACTTCCTTGGACGAACGCTTTCATATGGAGCTCTACTGCTACTAAAAAAACGAATAAATATTCGCTAACGTTAAAGGTCCGTCTACAATCTACAACTAAAACAGTACCTCTTACACGAGGTACCATTTTCCCTTAATCAGCATTCATGCAGTCAAGAACACATCACTTCGTATCGTTGTTATAGTAAGTGGCATAAAGTTGAATTAAAATCTTAGCCTTGACGTGCTCTTGACCCTGTACGAAGGCGTACTTAACACGCTCAGTTTTACGTGCGCTAAAATTGGACCGTCTAGAAGACGAGGCCTTGAACATTTTTATGCGATCGCTTATACATTTCGTGCCTAATCAGTGTGGTTTAAGGTGAGGTATTTTAACATGAGTCTAGATTTTAGGAAATGAATCTTTAGGAAATGAGGTGTCGGGGAGCGCCACTCGCGTCCCACAATCAGCGCGCTTAAAATTAATAAGAATAAAATAAGAACAAACAAAATTTGACACAGATCCGACGTTGACAAGCGCCTCATGGCAACTGACAAGGCAGCGGGCGGTACAGCGTATCGTTAAACCGCTGGGCAAATATGCAGAAATATCTCAATATAAAAATTGTGTGCAAAGTTAGATATTTTATTCTAAAATAATTCTTTTGAAACTTTTATTTTAGCTGTTTTCAGGATTTTATATGATCGGGTATAGCATATCCTATCGTGTAACGAATTAATACATCCTTTTGACAATATCTTAAGTGTGTAGTATATTTTTTTATAAGACCGTTACTTAACCCATTTTATATAGAAAAACAGTTTTTATTCAGCCTTAATCTATAAATTATACTAATCTTATCATCTTTTCAGAATCTCACTAAAATTTACAAAGGTCGCAAGAAGGCCGTGGACAACTTAAACCTTAGAATGTACCAGAATGAAATAACAGTATTATTAGGTCATAATGGCGCTGGGAAAACCACCACTCTATCAATGATGACAGGTACTGTTATTAAAGTCATTAAATTATTTAAAAATAAGGAAAATTACTTTAACATGCAATATAATGGAAAAAAGTATATAACAAATTAATAAAATAACCAACATATCAATTGAATCTGTGGCTCGGCTATTAAGGACTATAGTGCCTAATGTTGTGCTTACGCTGTTAGCTGTCAATGTAATCCATAAACGCTGCGTATGCATTACTAATGTTTATGCAGTGCTACTGGTAACCGTAGTAGATCATAGTAAATTCCACGTCTTTAAATCTCGTAGAGAGTACATTTAGCCATAGATTAAAATGTCCAGATTATTATCTTTCTATTACGAACAAGGTAATCGTAATAAATAATAGAGGACTGAACATTTCCATATCGTCGGGGATAGTGCAAATCCGCGTATGTAGTATTGGTAAAAAGCTAGTATCTGCACCAAACCAAATTTCATAGGAGAGGGATTTAACGTTATTACTTTGTTATTTAAATGAAATGAAATAATGAAATATTTATTCGCAAGCAAACACGGTAAGAAAAGATATTATTATACAAGGTGTCAAGAATACGTGTTGCACCAGATTCGGGCACGCAAATATTAAAATAAATTGAAGTTAAATAATGTCATAAATTAAAATTATACAATTTGTCGAATAAGCAATGTCGTATAAAATTAAGTAAAAATGCCAATAAATAGCAACAGCAACAAAATCATAAATTAAACAATATGAAAGAAGTAAGAACAGCACAAATATAAACAAAATGTCAAATACAAACAAAATGTCAAATACAAACAAAATGTCAATTTCATTTTATTATTAAAAAATCTTTGATATCGTATAAACACAGATCACATAGCTAATCAAATAATTAAAAAAAAAATATTTTCATAGGTAAATCTGCGATAGCTGCAGGCAAAGCATTATATATATTTGTATGGACATGTTATAGCAATTCCTATAAAAGTAAGTAGTCTTATGGGAGGGGCCAGCTATGCTTGGATATCTAGTTAATAAATTACACACTTCACGTTTCCTAGTAAATAAGACCAAGTTTTTTAAAATAAACATGCATACCTCATATACGTACATGGCGGGAAGCGTTAGAAGATTTAGCTTTCTAAAGAACGGTCTACAAGATTCGAGCGGACCTACTCTACATATAGCTATATACTACTCTATAGATAGCAAATACACGGTTTATCTCTATGCAGTTCCCTTAGATGATGAGGCCATACCGCAAGCTTGAGCAGACAAATGCATGGTAGGCTATCAAGGCAGTCCTCTGATCACATATGTGCGTTAGACGATGTAAACCAAATACAAATCGATTCAGCTTTGCACATATTGAATCAACCTGTGGTTTCCATGTTAGTTGAGAGTCCAATACTATGCCGAGAAAATTGCTGGATGAGCATTCCACAATCATCTCCATGACAACTTACAGAGAGTTTCTGGGGCTTTCCATTATAATTATAAAATTGTATGAGCTTTGTTTTTGAATCATTTACTTTCAGATTATTTCTCTTAAGCCAGTCAATAATATTACATATAGTGTTATTTATTTCTTTTTCATAATCTATGTCAGGATTCTTATTAATAATGATTGATATGTCATCTGCAAAAAGAGTGCATGGATATTTTGTCATTTCAGGGAGGTCATTAACATACAATAAAAACAGCAATGGACCTAAAATACTTCCTTGAGGCACACCGTATTTATTAACGTTAAACTCAGATCTGTGGGTCTCAATCTCATTATTATTATTTAACTTCACTACCTCCACACACTGAGTTCTGTTGCTAAGGCAACTTGCTATCCAGTTATGTACCTGGTCACGAAAAACGTATCTTTCTAATTTGGATAGTAGAGTTCTATGGCAAACGCAATCGAAAGCTCTACTCATGTCAAATAAAACAGAACAGACAGGTACTTTCTTATCTGCAAAAGTTGAGATATCTTTGATTACCCTGAAACGTGCCTGTGTGGTAGATTTTCCCTTTTGAAACACAAATTGCTCTACTTTAATAATGTTGTACTTTGATAGGAAAGCCGTAACTCTTTTATGCATTACCTTTTCAAAAAGCTTTGATGTTACAGATATAAGTGTATTTTATTATGGAGATCTTAAGAGGCGATGGAAATGTACCCTCCATGAAGGACAGGTTTACCAAGTATGCCAGTAATGGTGATAGTTCATCAGCACACGATTTAAAAACCTTAGTGCACACTTCATCGTAACCGGTAAAGTTTGTGTTGTTGAGGGATTTCATTAAAATTTTTATTTCCGCTTCGTCTGTGGGATATAAAACTAAACTTGACTCATGCACCTTTGGTAAAAAAATATCGTTACTATCTTGTCCCGGGTTCGTAGTCGACAAGTTTAAATTTGAAAAATGAGTGTTAAACTCTGATGCTATCTCTGGAGGATTTTCAATCTTAATTTTATTTACGGTAATGTGTTCAATAAAATGTTTGTCGCGTAAATGTTTGTCCTTGTTGTTTATTATGTTCCAAGTAGCTCTATTTTTGTTTTTAGCATTGACCATGTATCTATTATTACATTGCTTTTGACCGGTAATGATAGTTCGTTTCAAAATTTTTGTGTAGGTTTTATACAGTCTTTCTATTTTGTGTCTTTTTTTGTAATAGTTCATACGTAATTTTCTTTTAGTGATACAGGACTGTCTTATTCCTTTTGACAGCCATTTTAAGTTCGTATTATCATGAAACATTTTGACTTTAATCTTTGGAAAACATAAGTTAAACAATAAAACAAAATTATCATAGAAAAAACTAAAAGCATGTTCAAGGTCATCAACATAACTAAAAAGCTTGGACCACGCATAAGATTCTAAGTAGAATTTAAATTTAGTAACATTGTCCCCTGAAAAGTCTCTTCATTTCAAACCAGTGCTTAATTGGTTTTTGACGCGAAGTTATAGGAAAAGTTAAAAGTAGAGCCGTGTTGTGGTCTGATAAGCAGACTGGTAATGTTTCTCCAACAACATTAGCAATACTACTAGCGGTATGATCTATGCAAGTGTTTAAGCGAGTCGGTGAGTATATATGTAAGTTCATATTGTAGCTTTCTAACAAAGTTTTTAGGTCACGTGTTAATTTATTGTCAGTTAATGTATGTAATGTACATTCCAGTCACCTGTCAATATATTTTTTTATTCGTTTTATTTTTTAGTCTATCTAGCAATAAATCTATTTTTTCAAAAAATATATTTATATTTGAGTTGGGAATTCTATATATGCAGATTACTAACAATTTATGTTGCATAATTTCTATTCCACAGCATTCAAAGCTTAATTCCAATGCAAGATCTTGAAGGAATGTTATGGGTCTTGACTCGATGTTTCTGTCATGCATTATACACACACCCCCTCGTCTTTTATTATGTCGGCAGAAAGACGAACCCAGAGAATAACCCTTTAAATGTATGTTTGCTTCATTATTTCGTTTAATAAATGTTTCTGATAAACAAAGAACATCAATTATTTTTTTGTTATTACGTAGGTCTGATAATGTGATTTCCAACAAGTCTTTTTTGCTTAAGAAACCCGCTATGTTTTGATGCATGATTCGAAAATTGCAATAAGTATCTATAAAAAAGAGGAGGAGTCACAAACATCATTTATCAACAAGCTGTTGCAAACAAGTGTTATTCAAATTGCGCTTAAAAACAGTAAACATGCGATGATCGTACGTAAGATTCTTGTTCGAGTCCAGTACATAAGCATATTCATGAGTCAAATTGTCACGATAGAGTAAATTGTTAAATGTGTCAACCCGCTCGTTGAATAATATGCTTGTATTCAACCCGTGTCTGACAGTTGGTAAACATATGAACACATTGGTATTTTGAATTTTTAACAGTTCAGTCCTGAGCATATTAACTAAAATTTTATAGTCCATACTGGTTTCAAAATCTTTTTCCTCTATCATTATAACGCATGAGTCATACACAGTGTATAATTTTTCACTTTCTTCTCTAAATTTGTCAGTAGCTGCTGAAGCCCTACTTTGGTGTCAAGTAATGGCAAATTTTTGTGTTCCGGATGGTAGATGTTGCTGTCGTTAGAATCTTGTTTCTCTTATTGCTGCTAATAATACACATATTGTGTTCAATATGTCGAGTATCGTGTTTTGGCGGAGTTAGGCCAGTAATTAATGTACTTTGCAATTTTGGTGAACTAAACATAAAAAATTTAAACTTGAAAAATTCAAAGTTTTTCTTTTTAATTTATTTTTATTCTTTTTGAGTCGAGCAACGACTAATGGGATTAAAAGTATGTTTGCTTAAGTTGTTTATTTTGTAATTCCCGTTTTTGTAGTTGTTTTTGTAACGTCGCGTTTTCCTTAAGCAAATTAATAATTTCGTTGTCCAGTTTCTGATTGAGTCTATTTATTTCAGTTTTTAAGTCCTGTAAATCACTTTCAAGACAATATCTAGGCCCGGGGCAGCTTTTATTTAAGTCAATTGAGTTTGATGATACCTCAATTTCTTCGTCATCTAAAGAGCTGAAGGAGTTCACACGTTTATGACGATTTTTTTGCGATCTGCAACTTTTTCGTTTTCTTTATGAAAATCCAACCAACATGATTGACATTTCCAGGTTTTTTTATATCTGTAGTCATCAGGTGAAATCTTTGAGATGAGACATTTGCGCATGTTAAATCATATGTCTTGTCACAATTTACACAAACTAGAAATTCTCTACCATTTATTTTTTGTTCACATTTATCACATCGTGAAGTCATTTTTTTTTTTTTTGTGCCCTCTTGAGTCTACTAGCAATTAGTTATATAATTCGGTAAATTATCACTAGATGTCACTGCTTTATCCTGTACAATAGAAAGTTCGGTACTGGTTGTGACACGTATTGGAAATTTCGTTAAATCTTCGGATTAAAGAGACATCTAGTTGTTGCACTGTGCAACTAGTTGATAAAATCAAACGTTATCTCTCGTTGTCGTTTTTACAGCTGATTGGCAGTTGATTGACAGCTGTATATTGTTTACGTTTGAAATTTAATATTGTAACTGATTTAGGATCAGCAATAATTTCTATTTTTTGAGTAAATTTCACATTTCTTGTACAGTCTTGGGTTATATTATGTGTGTTATAGTTAAAGTACTCACTACAATTGGAAATCCCTGGGTTACAACATCCGTTTACACAAATTTGCACAATAAATAACTGGTTATGAATTGTTTATGAATTAGCACAATATACGGTAAAGTAGCCGTTCAATCTTTACACAAACACTTGTACTGAATATTTACATTTTTATAACTATATTATGTCTCTTTCTAAGCACAAAAAATACAAAATACCATTTATTACGAAATTTATATACGGAGCTAGTTGTTTACTGTGCGCAGTGGCGCCCTCCGATTTGGTATCTCTTTGGCTACGACTTTCATTTTTGCACAGTAAGCATTAAATTATATTGTCTACGGACTGATAACAATAGATTCCCGGAAATCACGCTAATTTGGTTGCAACGATATTTACGCGTATTTGATTTGGCGACTAAATTAGAAATGGAGTCTCACAATCAAATGCTAGTTACGCGTAATTCCACTATCCCTGACGATATTATGCCGTTTCTGTAACTTTTTTTTAAATTTAGTTTAGTAACAATGTAAAAATATTATTAAATGCTATCAGATACATCCCATCCTTCAATGTGACGTTGATATTCTTCTTTTTTTTCGGGTTCAATGTTTTTACTAAATTATATTCCATAATTTCGGCAGTGTTGCCCTTTAAACCAATGTTTTTACTAATTATCGGTATATTGTCGCTCTCGCGCAATTCGCGCCCTGGCCTACTAGATCTATGGGAAAGATTATAGCCAAGCGTGAATCTGTTTTACATTACAAAAAAATGTCGTCATCAACTCATTTATACGCCCTACTGCTGGGCACGGGCTCTCTCAGGCGAGAGTTTGTAGTGTAAGTCATTTTAATTTTGATTTTTTTGTACGTAACTTGTAACATAAATATTATTTGAATTGTGGTGTTCCATATTATGACGGGCCATGACAGAATAACAGCGAGGGCTATGTAATTAGCGTAGTCCTCAGCATGTTCTCAGAGGCTGAGTCATGGACCCTTTTGACTTGCTTCTTTTTTTTTAACTAAAATTTATTTTTATAATTTTTTTTGTTTTGTTTGATATTTATGTATTTTGCATGTCAAAATTAGTTTTTTTTTTTAATTTAATTTAAATGTTCTTTGGCAAATTAAAAAAAAGTTATTTAAATTAGTTTTTGTAACTATAGTGAAAAATAGGTTAGTTGGCGTTAACACGAGTATTAAACAATTGTGACTGTTTGATGAGTCTTTACAATTTCAGTCAGCCGTGAACCTGTAATGGGCCCGAAACATTGGTTTGTTTCAAATAACAAATATAAGTAATCAAAATAGATCCGAAAAAAATTTTCATTTCCAATACGTCATACTGATGTTTTGTTCTTATTGTCTTCTCCAGGTATGGTGAACCCCACGTCTGGAACAGCGATCATAAACGGCTACGACATAGTAACAGAGACGCATCAAGCTCGCAAATCGCTTGGCATTTGTCCCCAACACAACGTACTGTTTCCCGATCTGACTGTCGCCGAACACATCATATTCTACTCGAGGCTAAAAGGAGTGCCTTACTCGGACATAGGAAAAGAAGTCGATCACTTTGTAAAACTTCTTGAGTTAGAAGCAAAGGTGCGTACGTTTTATATTCTTCCAAGTATCTACATGTAATATCACGTGATCACTAGATGCCAATAAAATAATCTTAGTAATAATGTAGTACACGCAAGAGCAAATTAAGAGTTACGCTTTGTACTTTGGACCTTTCTTATCGCAAGCGACACAGAGTTCAATTTAAATAGAAAGTGTCGAGCTTGACGGCCTCTTTAATCCAGTACTCGAAATTTAATTGAGTCTGAGTATCAGAAGGTATAATTCTAACATTTTTATAAAAAATCACGACCTCAAAAGTTCGTGGAATTACATCTATGTCAAGTTTTATTGAAATCAGTTACCAGAAAGTGCGCGAAACTGGATTCATCCCTTAGTTTCTTCAAATTTAAATGCGACCACTGATGAGATACCCTCTTTCCAAGAAAAAAAATCATCAAAATTGGTTCACAAATGCTGGAGTTACCGCGTAACATACATACAAAAAAAAAATACAGTCGAATTTGAGAATTTCCTTTTTTGAAGTTGGTTAAAAATTTTGAAACACCGCTACTAATTAAAGATGCTATTTTTTGATAACCTTTAGTCTTCAGAAAGTGCTCTAATTTCCTTAATATTTCATGACTATTTTGATTATTTTTGTTGCCTAATGGGTAACCATTCATTGAAATAACTTTGAAACTAATAATCGTTTCAATGTTATGTATTAAGTGCGTAAATATGGTATATTAACCTATTATTATTTGTGCCAAAATATACATCTTTTTGTAGCTCCTATATTACTGTTTTTCAAATCCCCTTTTGATCCAGCTCCCATGCTAGTCGCAAATTAATACGTATAGTATTTTTGGCTACTTATACACACGAGCATTACTGCGTTCCGGTTTGGTAAGTGTGCTGGTGAAATTACAGGCACATGGGACTTGTTAACTTATGTTCCGGGATGACGGGCGCAATTACTGTGCTTCTTAGATCTCTGGGATTTAAAGCTCTGATTGGTTCTGCAACTGTTATGGTCATGCGTGTCGCTTACCACCAGGCGCACGACTTGTTCGTCCCATCACTTGGTGTAATAAAAAGTAAATAAAAAATTATTTATTTTCAGAGAGACACACTGTCAGTTAAGCTGTCAGGCGGTCAGATGCGACGGCTGTCAGTGGCTTGCGCTATGTGTGGGTCATCCCGCGTCGTACTGCTCGACGAGCCTACGTCCGGCCTCGACCCCGCCGCGCGGCGTTCTTTATGGGATTTATTATTGAAGGAAAAGAAAGGTACACAATTTGTGATGTAATTTCGATACCGCCAATGAATACTACGGTAGCTTAATGTATAGATCTGTTCTGTTTTTATTTTGTTTTTGTTTGTCTTTTTTACACAAAATTTCGGGAGCATATTATTAGTAAATAAATATGGCTGTTCACAAAAATAACAGAAAATGACCAAAAAATAAAGTTGGCGTAGTGTTAATTGGGAGTATCGGTTTATAGATAGCTAAAAAAAAATAATTCACACCGTTGGCCTAATAAGGCCACATCTGCAAAAACAACTTCAGGGGAGAGGTTTAAATATCCTACGAATGAAATTATACTCGTCACCAAATAAGAGGCGATAGGATGTAACTTTCATTGCGATCAACGTAACAATAAACAAACAATTATTAGCATAATTGAGTTAAAACAAATACATACATTTTATTGAAACATTATATAATATGACAAAACATATTTGAAGTACTATTTTCGCACAAATTCGAAAATAAAATGCAATTTTGAGCTCCAAAAAGTCCTGAAAACAGTAACATCCTCAAGCTATTTTTTTTTTAAATAATAGTGTTGTAAGCAATTAATCGCCGAATTTCACCGAGTCACTTCGATTTCTGGGAAAAAATATTCACTTATAAAATATTAAAACAAATATGTATAAAAATAAATGTAT